GTATCATTCGCAAGTAGGAAAATGTACGCGAAGACCATTTCGTACAAGATCTTTCATATGTTAAGTATGCAATTTCAGATTAATTGCCTGTGAAAGAAGCGAGGAGATCATTGTATCTCATTTGTATGCCGCTGAAAAGGCATTTTGTAGTCGCTTCGTCTTAAAATTCAGTAAAATTACGTTACAATTCATACTACTACCTTGCCGCCCCGCATTAGCTATGAGGCACGAATCCCCTCCTAGACCTGAAGATGTACACGCAGAGTTGGGACCCCCGTATAGCACGTAGCTCTCTTTGTACCCCTCCTCGAAATATGTATGCCCAGAGAGTATCTAGGAGTCTAGGCAGAGGAGCACTCGCTATAAAAGCCTGGTATGTCAGGATGAACCCGTCAGAAGAGTGACGAACCGTAAAAAAAGACGGTGGTCGTTGCCATCCTTTTCACACGGCCACGGTACCCCACGGTCGAGAGAATGCGATTTATTCTGGTCAGTGTTCAACGCCGCTAATTGCATCCGTGCTCTCATCCTTCGCGCCTTTATCATGTGCCAGTGCGTCTGTGATATGTGAGATTCGAACGGAAAGTGATAACGTTATCGGTATAATAAATCCCGTTCGCGGCGATCGTTTCATAGGTCATTTTAGATTCGCGGTCGATGACTCGTATCGCGCGACGCATCTTGTCTGTGTCTATTATCTATCTAATCTTATTGTTAGCTTCATCCAGTGAAATGTGGAAATATCCTATTTTGCTAGAATAGCAACGTTTTGCAAATGATAAATTTTTTTTAGATAACGATACGATGTTGGTCTTTGCGCGATAACGATTTGATAAAATTATATTCTTACTTTATTAAGTTGTCGTTGTGATTGTTTTTATAGCTATCATAATTTTGATAGAATGATGATTGCAAGAGAATATTTAACTTTTTAAATATATTCTAAAAAGTTAAAATAATAATATATTATAAAATCATATAGAGATATTTTCAATTATTATAGAGAAAATATACTTTGAATATTTCATAGATATTTTAAAATTCGCGTAATTAGGTAGAAGAACATATGCGGTACATATATAATTAATAAGCAATTTGTTTTTGCAATTTAGATTAAATCGCAAATGTGAATTTAATATCGGGTCCCCATAGAAAATTGCAAAACTTTCTGCATTTCGTAGAAACGACATTTACTAAAAATGTCACCTTGCAATTTATTTTTATGTAAAGAGAATACAAAAAGCATGTTCAACACAACTCTTAAAGCTACCGAGACAGTAGCGGGTAGATCTACCTATTTGTAATATAAACGAGCCGGTAAATCACTACCATTTTCCAATGGCAATTGCTATAAGTGAGCATTCTTGTCACTTTTCATTCCGCAAAATGGAAAGTTGCGCAAATAAGAGCCGCGTTTGGAGTACGATGCATAACTACATCGTATCGGGTGTCACGTGTAAAATTCGGCAGGGTCGATGACGCGACGCGGCTTTACCTCGAACAGTCAAAGTCACAGTCATGGGCATTCCACATCTGCTTGAAGCGATCTGCTTTTATTTTTTCAATTTTTTTTCCAGAGCTACATGACATATTGCCGTCTAAATTTAGATATTTCATATTTTATATCTTGGCCATTTAAGATAGCAGCCTCTACATAGTGTTAATAATATGGTATAATTAATTTTTTAAAGAAGATTCTTTTTTTTATTAAAGATGTTTTATTGAAAAAGAAGAACTGAAAGTCATGATTTCTGCAAATCTCGTCATTTAAGAATATCTTGATATTTAATTAGAGCAGCGAATAATGCTTATCTGATTTCTCTGTCTATCGTATTAGCGGAGACTAATAGCGCTTGTAGTGTATTAATTAGATAAAGATGATAAGGATAAAATGAGTTAATCAACAAGTAATTTTATATGCCAATATCAAAATAAGATATTATACGTAAAGTGGTTGTATAAAGTATTGAAACAAAAGTAAGCCAAGGTTATTATTAATTTAGTATGTAGATAACATGCGAACAATTATTATTGTTATGTTAATCTGAGAAGAGGTGAATCTGTGACGTTTTATCAGTATATAATAACGCATAATTATTGAAATTTCTATTTAAACATTAAACATTAAACATTTTCTATTTAAACATTACGGCAATATCCAGCGCAACAAAATAAATTACAGCAGAGGCCCATGGTTTCTCACTTTTGACATTTCCTGGCGCAGTAGATTTCCAAAATATTCAATCACTAATTGTCATATTTTCTTGTATCTTGTGTTTAAATATTTACGCATGAAGAGATATCATCTTAATGTATCCAACATCTAATTATCTTAGTCATAATTAGATGAATGCTAGGAGTAAAATAACCTAGACCTACAGATTCATATCGAATTGAATATTCATGTATTAAAACATTCAATTACTCAAGAATTACGAGGCAAGTTGTTTTAGACGTAGCCACCTTTCACTTGTAAATCCTTTGATTTACACAGAACCGGCCTTTTTTTTAGAGAGGATGTCAAGAGGGTCATCACTCGTTGTAAACTTTCCGACCTCAAAACATCCTCATAATTTATTTGTCAATTATGAGTTTGTTTGAGTTGGCAAATTTCAGAAAATGAAATAATAAAGGAACAAGTTTCCCTTATTATCTCTAAAGTTCTTTACTTACGAAATTTTTCGTAATCAAACGGTTATAATTTAGAACTGCCGGTGTTTCTCTCTTATCGGGAAAAAAATAAATTTCAAATACGAGAATCGAGAAATTCGTAGATGAGAGGTGGTATTATGCGCGGCATACAGCCGGGACTCCATATATCTAAGTGCGTATAAATAATCAAATGGTTTCCAAATATCTCTTGTAAAAGAGAAAGAAAGGGACAAGTGGGACGACTAAAACACCTGATAGCCCAGCAGCCGCAGGACTGAGTACCGCGACAGGTACCGCCTAAGGGCAATACCTGACGAGAAAAAAAAAAAAAAAAGAGGAATCTCCAAGCCCACTTTCCTTTAATTTAACCGTCGGTACAGGTTTTATGTTCCCGGTAGCCTCTTCTGGAAATGCGAGGACAGCGAGGGGGAAAACGGGGGCTCGACCCAATTCGCGCCGCTGTTTTCGTCGGCCGCGCGTTCACACGGCGGCGGACACTTTCATTTTTGAGAGACGCGCTCGTGACGTCGCGTGGACAAGCGCGTAGAAATCCGCAGGATTTCCGTCGCGCAACACGACGAAAGAACTCTTAGTTCTGCGGGAGGTTGATGACAGGCGATTGCGCGAATAAGATAATTACGCTACCGCGCTTGAGAGAAAGAGAACTAATTACACGGCAGCGGGACACCGTCTCATTCGCGCAGTCGATCGCACAATTAACGTGTCTTCGCGCCTTTAAGATTTTTAACAC